GAGCCAGATTTTGGGGTCGATGAGGTACCCAGGGAAAATTGTTAAAATCTGGAATTCCAGATTTTTAGGGGATTCCCCCGATTTTTTGAGTCGATGTACTACCCAGGGGTTTTTGCAAAAAACGGCGGATGGGGGTGTGCTCCAGAACTCTCTATTTCCCTCTACTAGGGCTCCCATTCCAGGACCAAGCACAGCAATGTCATTTGAAAAATGGCCGCTGATGACGGAATTGGGAGATTTTATTTTTTGGAGGGGGGTTGAGTTTGTTTTTGGTGGATAATTAGAAATTACATTGCTTAAGTAACCTACTTAAAATTGAAAATCAGTAGAAAACTGAATGACCCAAGAACATTCTGCTCTTTTTGTTTTGGGGTTTTTTTGCCGCGGGGGGAGGGTTAAGAGGCCCGAAGGACTTTGGTTGCCTGCACCGGGGCTGCAAACGTGGTCGATTTTACCATGTCTTCGAATGGGCTTCCTTTAGTTCAGTGCGTGGATAGAAAGCAGTAAAAATTCGGAGCGAAATAGCGCCGCCTGTTGACTCTCGGAGGAGGTTTGTCTCTCTGTCGTATTTTCAGTTATGTCAAATGTTGATGTGGATATATAGCGAAAACTGCTCCTTTCTCTATCCCAATCACCAACAATCACACTATCCTAACAATAACGCCAAGAATATCCCTCACCTTACTGTCCCTAACCCTAACCGCAAACGTATATATCACTAACCCTAACCCCAACCCCAATCCCAACCCTTACCCTATCACTAACCCTACCCCTAACCGTATCTATAACCCTAACAATATCCTGAACCCCAACCCTATTTTCCTAACCCTAGCCCTTACCCTAACCACAAAGCTATATATCACTAAATCTAACCCTAACCACGACCCAATCCTAACCCTCACCCCACCCCTAACCCTAGCCCAACCACAAACTTATATATCACTAAACCTTACCCTAACCACAATCCCAACCCTAACCCTTGCCCTATCCCTATCTGTAACCCCAACCCTATCCTTAACCCTATTATCCTAACCCTACCCCCATTCCTAACTGGGAAAGCATTTCTGTTGCGCTTGAATATGGGAATCTTCGTTACCGTGAAAACAAAACTGGCATCAATTAGAGCACCCTTTCAAAACAGTGAAAGAAAAGTTGAAAGCAAGGTTAACTGAGACAGAAAGGTGCATTTTGAGGGTTTACGTGAAAACAATTTAATTGTAACTGTCATTGAAATAAAAAGTTGGAAATTCAGATGGCCCAAATCTAATATCTTCTTTGACAAGTCATCTTGCATCTTTATCCAAGTTACATTTTATTTATAAATCACAAGATCACGTCATCATTTATGCCATTTCACATACGTCATTTTGTGTACAAGCCAGTGTTAAGTCAAGGTTTGATTCTCAAGGCCGGCGATTGAATAAAAAGGTACATTTTAGACAAATTGTACACGAGTTAAAGAAAAAAAAGAAGATATACGCCAACTTTGTGTTGTGTGTGTACAATCACAACTGTTTTTGCATGAGTTCATCGTAACTCCAAAGACGGTGTTTCATCATGCCGTTTTCATGCACAGCACCTAGGGAAATAAGGAATGGTCAATACTTGCATTTGATATTTTCTGAAGTTTTGAGAAATGGCAGGTAAATTTTGGTGGTGTTCTATTTGAGTTCGAAAAGAGACATATTCTTGACCAAGTAACTTGGGTGACTTTTTTCCCTTGTCCCTTTTTGTAACTCGAATGCTGATATAAAATTTAAGGCCAGCGAGGCTCTAGATATAAATGACAACATACAGTTTCGGTCTTGCCAAACGTACATGTAACGTTGGTTACGTGGAGATAAAAACAAAACTGAATGGAGTGCACCGTTTAAAAAAGGC